GTCTTTTAAAAGGCTTCATTTAGATTATTTTACATTAAATGCATCATATAAGTCACTTTGGAATAAATCACAGTAGGCCTACGTATCATGATTAAAAAAAGTCTGGAAATACTTTAGGCTATAGCTAATTATTTCGCGGACCCCCTATCACTTTAAGAACCGCTGGTCTACACAGAAGAAAGCGCTGTCTAGACTCTGCCCTGGTATGAGTTGTGTCGAGCTATTCATTAGTGTGTTTGATGAAAAAAGATGAAATGTAGTTGCAATAAATGCGTTATGAATCCGTACAACTGCAGCAGCGGAGGACTATTATTCTGCTGAGTGATACTGTGGAAGAACTGATGACAGCACGGTTTGATCTTCGGCTGACCAATCAGCAGAAAGCATTTTGACTAGTTTGTCTTTCTGAAATGAGAAATGCATGCACAATATTTAGTCTATTTGACTTTTGCATAACAAATCTTTCATTTGAAACACATTAACATGCTATAGTTTTGTCTATGGCTTACTGTGCCAGGACAGGCTCATTGCTGTGCATAGTTTCCTGATGCATCAGATGACAAGGCTTTGGGTGGAGGACACTGATATGCCCATGTGTGAGACATATGTCATCTGTGCTTATTACATAATTACAATCCGCCAGCCTGAAAGCAAACATTTGCCCCAATATAAGGTTGTTTATGAATCAACAATCCAGCTCTTCTCTTTGTAGTTACTCGGTGTGTTTTGCTGCTGTATTAAAGATGTAATCCATGGCCTGGCTCATCCAGTTCCCAAACTGATCACTTGGCGTGCTGTCATGAAGGGTTTCCCTGTGTGTCACAAACATCACACAGTGTGCCTGTGAATCACTTGTTTAAAGCACTCAGTTGTTCTATGATTAGAAAGCTTTTAGTCACACACTGCAGTGGTTTCATTTAGCGGTTGGAGTGCTGGATAAGTGCTCTGTGCCCTGTTAATATTCTGTTAACTGATTCTTGAGAGAGGAATAACAGGCTACATATGCTCAAATATAAATGGTTATGTATTAAGGAATTCATTTGAATCTCGGGGGCCAGTGAGATTTTTTTTCTTTCGAAAGAAATGATTGCTTTTATTTAGCATTGATACATTAAACTGATGTGACAGTAAATACATTTATGAACAGTTACATAAGATCTTAATTATAAATAAATGTTGTTCCTTAGAACTTTCTATTTATCAAAGATTCCTGAAAAAATATTAAGCAGCACAACTGTTTTCAGCATTGATAAGAAATGTTTTTAAAGCACCAAATCAACATATTAGAATTATTTGTGAAGGATCATGTGACACTAAAGACTAGAGTAATGATGCTGAAAATTCAGCTTTGCTTTCACAGAAATAAGTTACATTTTAAAATACACTAAATTAGAACATAAAATGTTATCATGACAGAATAAGCATGATTAAAAAATGATGCACCAAATTTAGATCTGGTGGTGTTTTCTGACTTTTATTTCACTTTATTTTTCATGTCAGTCTTTTAAATCTCTGCTCAAATAAATAACAGTGCAAAATGCTTTTTGGTGTCAGTATATATCAGATGATCGTGACTAAGGCTTCTGTCTGACACTGTGGAGGATGGGAACAGTGAACCATTAGCAGTCAGTTTGGAAAATAAAGTAAACACACATAAATCAGTCATCAAATATCTGAAGTGAATGTATATCTGCCCAATGACCCAATACTTTTTAAATAATTTCAAACAGTTTTCTGTAATGTACAAGAAAAATACAACTACAGAGTGTCATAATATCCTATAATGTGTTAGTAAATTATATGTACTCATTTTAAATGAATGAAATTAACAAATAAATAACAAATTAAGACAACTTGCTGAAAACATTCCCTCACCGCTGTTGTATATCAGTAACAAGATTTTAATCCAGCAATATTGACTTTTAATGCAATAACTAAGGCAAATGTGCAATAAAGAATATGTTGATTCAAACAAACAGACAGTTACAATAGTAACAATACAGTCAAACGTAAGTGATACAATCGCAGACTCACGAAGGCAAATTTCATATAGTTACCAAAAATATCTTCACGTGACCAGGCTTCCGTACCTGCAATGCCTCCGATGGTGACTCGAGTTTATCCATGCCTCCATAACAAACATACAGTATTTTGTGATGTTTTTAAGCCACAGAGGAAACCAAGGCAGAGCAACAATGTGAGAGAAACAGAGGTGTGTGGAATGGAAACACTTTCATCCATCCCTGAGGGTCTGATGGGTCTCTCATATTTTTGAGCTCCGTTGTTTGGTGAAGGCAGAGATCACCCCTGAATGCAGATCCACAGTCCGCTTTGACTTCTTAACTTGTGACACTGCCTGATCTGAAAGCCGCAGTTAGGGGTGCTCTCACTGAGGTCAGTTTGTCATACAGAGGCCGCGGGCAGTGGATGCTGAGTTCTTGGCTCTCTGCACCACAGCCTGACACTTTTCACGTTTCAGAAGCTTGTTGTTCTCAAACACTCCCTCATTTCGCGGAGCACCATGGGAACCATCTGGAAATGTCAGCAGCCCTATGGAAAAAATACCATATTTATTCATGGTATAATCTTCACAAATCCTAAACCCAATGCCACATATATGAACAATAATTAAAATAAAAATACTTTTTATTATCCACCTTTTTTATAACATATAAAAATGTGTAACTTAAATGTGTGAGGATTCCAGTTATTTCAGCTGTACAAAAACAGCCGTTATGCTGCTTTATATTGCAAACTTATTTCTTATAATGAATGTGCTGGTTTGTAGCGCATATAGTTTTACCATTTGTTATTCTTCTAGTTATTTACCTACAGCGGCAAATTTATCTGAAGTCTCACACATTCACAGAAAATCTAATTTGTTGAGATAGTGAATTGGTGGGTTTTTGTTAAATGTGAGCCAAAATCATCACAATTAAAAGAACCAAAGACTTAAACTACTTCAGTCTGTGTGCATTGAATTTATTTAATACACGAGTTTCACAATTTGAGTTGAATTACTGAAATAAATGAACTTTTCCACGATATTCTAATTTATTGAGATGCACCTGTACTTCCACATTTCAAAATAAGGTGGATATGCAAGAGCAATTCTGATTCTGACTTTACTTTTACATGCACAATTTTTCATCAATCGGAATTAATAAATGTTTTTGCCTTGATGACGTGTCTTAAAAGAAAGCTAACATGTCATAAAAGCTTTTTTTTTAGCAAATATTTAGTAAATATTTAGCCACCAACAAGTTCTTAAAACGCAAGATGTAAATAAACATATGCAAGTTTGTAAGATGTAAAATGCATGTAAACTTACAATTCATGGTACTACACATGTACGTTAGGTATTTTTGAATAATATATTCCGATTTAAGCATTTGCATGCTTATTTTTTTCTGCTTATCGGTTTATTTCAGGTCTACACCAGCCTTTTCAGTCTGATAAAAATTTAATTTGGATAGAGCTCAATCAGGTGTGCATTTCCTATAGCATCGTTTTTTTTTTTCATCGATTTATTTTTGGCGTTTTTAAATTTTTTATTATGATAGGAGACAAGAAGCTAAGTGAGAGAGAGAGAGAGAGACAGGGACGGGATTGGGAAAGGTCCTCGAGCTGGGATTCAAATGGCACGATATATCAGCACGCTGCCCACAAGGCTATTGGCGCCATAATTGCAACTATGGTCATAAGTTCCATTATTACTAATATAGTTCAATGATTCAGTGTTTCCTGAAACCATAATTCAAACGAATATTCCCAAACAGCATCACAAACTTACGTGGTTGGATATACAGCTCTTGACCTATGGTTTAAAGCATAGTTTTTTGTTAGTATGATATATGGACTTAGATTATGCTCTTGAGTACAATTGTATGGACAATTGAGGTCATTGTACGGGAAAGTTCGACTGAAGTGTTTACATTAAGGCTTTTCAGTCCGATTAAGTCATCATTCAGATTATAAACACATCATTTGGGTGCATGTAAACTAGGGATGCACCGAAATGAAAATTCTTGGCCGAAGCCGAACAAAATGAAACACTGGGCCGAAGGCCGAATACCGAACATGGTTTTTCACATTTTCCCCCCATGTAGGCCTATTTTGCCTTTTTTCCCCCCACCATTGCATTAATTAAATTGCCAAAATGTGCTTTTTACTGTTTTGTCCTGCTTTTCAAATAAAAAATCAATTACAAAACAACAATTTAAAAATATTTACTT